TTATTCAACAATTTGTGCACCCTTCAAACCTTTATCTCTTCAATTTGGAGATAAGGATGTCATGTGACTTACTAATCAATTTTGATTCAGTCATATTATCATAGAACATTTCTCAGTCCTTTTAGAGTTATCTCTGTAAACAAATAATCTTCTCTTGTGTTCTCAGGCCCAGTAGCAATTCTTCTTGCAAAGTGCCTCTAAAGGGTCCAGTCCATACCTCTTAGCTCTTCAAGTATCTCATGGTGTGAACTCTGTGATTCTGGCCATACAGTAAAGCAAAGGCAAAGATGATTTTCTCTCCATCAGAGTAAGTAATTTGAGCATTGCTTAATAAATTTTGTCATCTGATGGGGAGAGGAACATCTGATTCACATGCCTTACAGGAAAACAGGTGGGACCAATGGGAAGAAAGATGAGCCAAAAGTCACACAATTATTTTGTGCAAGCTTAATGTCTGCTTGTTCTGCCCAAAGGTAAAGACGTAGTTATCAGACCCATTTATCAGGTACACCATTTTAGTATAAACTTGTTTAAAAAAGGGTACAGCCCCTTTGTCATCTTAATCGACAGTAACCCATTGATTCCAAGCAGGCCTTCATTTTCTAATTATTCAATACATAATGTCATTAAACATCTTCGAGTGGACAAGATTGCTCTAAAAGCTTTAGTTCCAAAGCTCTAATATTAGGCTTTTGGCATTCATCCCTGCCTGTGAAAAGTAGTCCGTTTGTTTACCAGGAATTTAGATTCCCATTACTGGGGGAATTAGCAGTGAGATATTAGTCTGATTCAAGCACTTAACAATTGCTGATCATCTCCTCCGAGCTTGGGGATAATGGAGGTGATCAGCTGTAAATGGAAAGTATGTGGGGCTATTTTCATGGAGGCACTTGGAGAAAGTGCAGCATCCCCTGACCTCTGCTAACCCTGGGGTTTGCAAGAAACCCAAACATCAAGACACTTCCTGGAGGAGAGCTAATCACCTATCAGAAGAGCTTCCATTAGAGACTAACCAAGCTCAGCCTCAACTGACTCTGCCTCAAATGAAAAAAGGTTCAGCCACAAAGTCCCTGGGGTAGAAGTGATTAGCCTCTGATTGTATTTACCAGGATCTGTTTCACTGGGGGAAGCAGCTGTGGAATAGCTGTGGGTTGTGATTCCACAGCAGTGCTGAACGATCCTGTGGAGCTCAGCAGAGCTGATTGGCTTCCTTTCTTCACTGTTGTCCCCAAAAGCTTTCTCTGGTTCATGGACACCTCAAAGATTACTTTGATAATTCTCCTTTTTATTCTTGTGTAAAGTTGCCTACCATTTTGGCAAATAGAGTGACATGATTTTCAGGATGTACTGAAAAAGATACTTTCATTCTTTATAGATGCCGCACCTGTAAGCCTTTCCAATCAACTGAAAGTTCCGTTTTATTGTCAGCTGATTTTGAGAGGTGTACCAGGGATCTGTAGCCAGGAATCACTGTTTGAAACCAACGGTGCTTGAGTTTTCATCATCTGCAATAACATATTGTTCCCCCTTCTAAAAGGAAAACTGCAGCCACTTGATTCTTATTAAATCATAGGCATTTCTTGGAGGCAGTGGGAATGATGCGAGGACACTAATTTTGGACTTGCAAAATCAAGGTTTATCTCTGGCAGCATCTTGCTTATGACCTCGGGCAAGAAATGTAAATTGCTTCTCCCACGTGTCACAAGAAACCACGTATCTAACAGGTGGCTGAGCTCACAGCTGGAGGACTACATGAATGCCCTTTGTAAATGCTACATTAGATCGTATTAAAAGTTCTAAGGCTCTATCAGAGTTCTAGAAGCCACATCTGAAGTACCTGACCATGAGTGACGCCTGTAAAAGTTGTCAAGATTGCTTTGTAAGAGATTCTAAATTCTGTTCTTTACATTTCTGTTCCATAATGACCCCAGCAGTGGAGACAAGGAGTGTAGCTTGTATGAAATGCAAAGGAAGGCAGGAGACTTCTAGAGTTGCAAGACGAATTTTATTAGTCAGACCTCACATTATTTTACTCTTTAAAAAATAATCTACATTACAATAATTAGAAGGTTCCCTCCTTGTATATGCTTGCTGAATGCTCATTGTTAAGACTGTCTGGATGAGAATTTTTATTGGATAACCATTTGTGTTATGTGGATTATCTTTTGTGAGACCACAGGTGCTCACAGGATGTTGTTTTCCACTTTCCAGGAAAATAAGCTGAGGGGGGCTTGTTAGTTGCCCTGTCATATGGTTAGTAAGCTGTTCTGAATGGGTTTAGGAAATGTGCCAGTCTTGGAACACTGGTGGTGCTAACAGAACTGAATTGATAGTGACACTGGCATGACATTTCCAGTAGCCGTTAAGTTGTGCATGCATATATGCTACGTAGTTGAAAAACCATGATATTTGGAGATCAGGTGTTAGAAAAGTCTAAGTGAAAATGGGTTTGTACATACAACAGTGTGAGTACCTGTGAATAAAGGTGTAGTTAGAAGTGAATTTTGCTTGCAGGTATTGATGAACAAGCTGAGAGGCAGCTGTGTATATAAAGGTGCATGAAAAAGAGACACAGAGCACTTGGGAAAAGACCAAACAAATTGAGATGTTTTGCTTCAATTTCAGTCTAGAGCACAATTTGTCCAAGTGTCAAGAATTTTCCTGAACAATTCAGGATACGACAGAAGACTGCAATTGCAATCAATAACCTTCTTAGTAGGGATTTAGTGCCCTAAACATGAACAAGAAAATGTTAATCCCTTTTTCTAGATCAATCTGTCTTACACCGCTAAATTTGGGAAAGAGGAAAGATCACAATGCAGATGAGCGGAAGATCAATGCAGTACATTGTGTACCAGTGTGCGTGGTACAGATCACTCAGAAATCTACTCCATTATTCTCACAAATATTCCCTCTGTTGTGTGAAATAGTGGAAAGAAGAACACTTTCTTCTTCCCTGTCACTCTCCATTAACTTCCAGAGATGACAGATGATATTACATTACAGTCAAGGTTTTTGACACATTTCTAAATCCCATCATACAGAGGAGGATAGTCTAATGTAGATACTATATTAGGGTTACATGGGCTCTGTTTTTATTAACTAATGGGAGCAAACATGTGGAAACAGTGCTGTCTCTTGCTCCAAACAGTCATATTTCCGTTGGTAATAAGAAATACCAGTACTGGTAGTCCTGGTTATTAAGACATATTCGTTCCTACTGCATGTAAATAATACATTGCTTCTCTGTGTGACAAGGAGACAATGCTGCTGCATGCATGATTTCTTTGCTCTACCTGCACAGGAAATAAACAGAGGTCTGGAATTGGAAATGTAAATATTGCCACTGCAGAGGATAATTACTTTGATACACACTATGATGTCTGTAATAAGGTGTCTGACAGTGACTGGGAACCACAGCATACTACCTAGTCAGTGTTTCCCAGGCAGTAGATAAAACACAGGATAAAAATAAATACTCGGCTATTCTGCCTCTGTTCAGGCTTGTAATCTTGTTTGGATGTGTATAGTATTGTTCAGATCTGTTGCCTCTCAGGATGAGCAATGGGCACTACATGTGTGCGTGGAGGAGCTGCTTTGAGCTCAGTTTCTGACTATTTCAAAATGCAGGCTGGCTGATGAGGCAACTCTTGTACACAATTGATTTCAGACTGTTAACCTATGCTCAGGAATCAATATTCACTTAACACTACATTTTAACAGACAAATGCAGTACAAACTAACAGCAATTACACAGCGCACACATTTACATTCAGAATAAGCAGGTCATGAAATAGTGCTTGGCAGAGGAGGAAGACGGGGCAGGTGGCTGGAAGGGGACAATGGTAACTTGAATATGTGGACAGGTAGAAGGAGATTGTTGCAACTGAATGTCCCAGGGTTTTGTGGTCAATGCACCTTCAATGAGCCAAATGCACTCTCTACAGAGAACGTTTGTCCTGAAGCCAGCAAGATCATCTTTTGCTAGATAAGCCTAAATCTACTGAAGTTGAGCACCATTCATCTTGGACAACAAAGCCCAAGTGTGTTGCTAGCTGCTGTAATGGATTATCTATAAGTTGAAGGGACAAAACAGAACAGAGCATAAACTCTAGTGTAGTGTTCTTGATCTGGACAGGTGTTTTTCATATATTTAAAAGAAGGGATTTGAAAAGGGAGCTGAAAGTAATTCAGAGATGGTGTTTCTCAGGGACTTCACATGTATGTTTATTGAGCATTATTTGCAACCCACCCTGAAGCACAGGCTTCTGGTCTTTAGGATGATATGGTCTACTCTATGCCTTCATAGGCTTGAGAAGTGGACACCAACAAAACTCATTAAATGCAGCAAGTCCAAGTGCAAGGTGCCACACCTGGTTTGGGACAACTCCCAGTATCAGTACAGAGTGGGGGACTGAATGGATTGAGAGCAGGCCTGCAGGAAAGGACTTGGGTACATGGAAGACGGAAGATATAGATGGAAAACTCTAGACATGAGACAGTAAAATACACTTGCAGCCCAGAAAGCCATCCTGCAGTCTGGGCTACATAAAAAGAAGAAGCATGGCCAGCAGGCTGAGAGGTGATTCTTCCCCTCTACCCTACCCCACCTCCGCACCCAGAGTCCAGCATTCAACTCTGGGGTGCCCAGTACATGAGAGACATGGACCTGTTCAAGCAGGTTCAGATGAGGCCATGAAAATTAGGAGAGGGCTGCAACTCCTCTCCTGTGAAGAAAGGCTGACACCGTTGATGCAGTTTGGCCTGGAGAAGAGAAGGCTCTGTGGAGACCTTGCTGTGGCTTTTCAATACATCGGGGGGGGTGATAAGCACAGAGAGAGACTTTTTACCAGGGCCTCTAGGGACAGGATATGGAGCAATGGTTTTAAACTGAAAGACAGTATGTTTAGATTGAATATCAGGAAAAAATCACTCCCTGTGAGGGTGGTGAGGCACTGGCATAGATTGTCCAGAGAGGCTGTGCTTGCCCCATTCCTTCAAGTGTTCAAGGCCAGGTTGAATGGGGTTTGTAGCAACCTGGTCTAGTGGAAGGTGGTCCCTGCCCACGCATGGGATGTTGGAGCTAAATGATTTTCTAAGGTCCCTTCAAACCCAAACCATGCAATGATTGCCTGAGGAGGAGCTCTAGATGGTGGGGTGGTTGGAGACATTGTCAGGTCATCCCTAGAGTCAGAAACCAAACCCTGCACAAGATCTGAAAGAAATCAGACCTTTGATTGAACCTATTAAGTTGGAACATTAGCCTGTTACTCAAAATATGCGCACAGCAGAAGCAGAACCGTACCTGCAGAGCTCAGTGCAAACTGACAGGGGGAAAGCAGGGTGCAAATATGTGGCAGGTTTCCAGTGACTGCCATTCTGGGTTAAGGCCATTCTTCTTGTCTGAAAGCCTTCTGTTTCCCAAAGGTAAAACTGTACTGGGACATGCCTGGATATGGAATAATATTAATAATATTGGAAGAAAATATTCCATTTATGCCACATTAATGTGGGCTCAGCAACAGGGGCAGGAACAGAGCCAGAGAAGGCCAGGAAGTAGCAGTTCCAGAATAGACAGAGGAGGCCATAGGCATACTGCCCTGTTTGGGGCTGTCTTGCTGTGTCTTCCCTTCAGCCACCTAGGAAATAAAAAGGAGGGATGAATCCCAGTTAGACACATTTTGCTCAAACTTCTGGCTGCGGAACCTCTAGTTCTGAGCACTAATGTGTGACTGTTGAAACTCCTGTGGCCAGACATAAAGCCTTCTATTTCTGCTTATCTGTGGAAGGAGTAACTTAGGGTAGAGTAGTCCAGCGTTCTGCATGCACGTGGCATCCATTGGTTTGATATCAAAAGCCACATATTTCCAGATCCAAGGTTTTTCAACTACTGTCTCTAGGCTACTTGACCCACTGCTTTGTGAAGGCAACAAAGCATTGCGTACCTGGGACATTGCTGAAGAGAGAGATGTGCTGGCACTGTCTCCTTGGAAGCTTAGGGAAGATGAATAAAGTAAGTCTTCCTGTCTTCCTAGAGCTGTCTGCTTCAGGTGCATTTGAGACCAAATGGTACTTTCTGCAAACAGAAGTAAAGTAAGAGTCTTACAGTGCTTTTCTTGTGCACACCTTGGAGTCTAGTGAACAGAAGTCTAGGGAAGCTACTTTAGGAAAGGCTCTCACAGGCCGTGTGGCCTTGGTTTTGAGAATACTTATTCTGTTTCATAAATGGCCTGTCAGTTTGTGGGTTTTTTTGTGAGATTGAGCAGACTGCAAAAACAGTTTGAACTGTACTTGAAGACCTTTGGGTTCCTCTGTGATTTTCCCAACTCCATATTTTGTAAGGGGCAGGTTTGTAGTATCTCAGATGAGATGATTAAATTGTAGATATGTCTATAGTGCTGGGTGTAAGGCTTTTATATACTGCAGGAGGTAGGTTTAAATATTAATTACTTATGTAATTATGCTGTTTTCTTTTATATCCTGTTAAAGCTTTTACAAACATAAAATATTTAAATCTCATTAAGGTATGTTGCTGAAATGCTAGCGGGATAAAAGAAATACAAATTTAGGATTACACAGTTGCTTGTAACAGGATTTTTGCAACTGCTGTACTGAATCTAGCAACAGGCTGCATCAGGAGCTGCTTGTCTTGACTGAGGGCCGGGGATGAATACAGATACAGAGGATGGGGGGGGGGGGAATCCTGACCCCATAATCCTGGTGCACAGATGTGGTTACTCAGCAACCTATGGATACAGCATGTCTGACCTTGCCTTGGTGATGTTTTTGCAGTGCCCTTCATTTGAGTGATGTTTGGAAATAGCTTCAAGGGTGTTTGAGATGAACAGAGATGTTGCCAAAAGATACAGAAACAGAGCAGATCCTGGCTGGTCCCATAGGTTGCAGAGGAGATCACAGAGACATTGCAGAAGATAGAACTGTACACAAGAGCACTGCAACACAGGACCTTGAAACCGCAGGATTTAAATTGCTCTCTGCTGAGATGTTTCTCTGTGATGTGCCTGATGCTTACCAAGGCATTTGTTGCTCTCAAACATGCTGAGTAGCTGGTCACACTTCTCCTTCTGGTTGCCGCTGTTCTCACATGTACACCACAAGGAGACCGCCACACTGGAGTTACTGACATAGTTGGGTGTCATGGGTGTGCCTGTCCCAAACCCCCAGATGAAAGAAGCATTATGAATCATGTTGTACTAAAGGAAATACTGCCCTGGAGGCAGAAGCCTTCTACTGAGATAAGCATGTTACCCAGGCGAGGCCAGGAGTGTCAGCTAGGTTGCCCAGGCTTGATGAACCTAACTGAAGTCTGCTGAGCTGTGAGAAAGTGTTGAGATTGCTACCCCTGACTCAGGCACTCAGTGAGATGTATTGAGAACTGAAGCTGGTGCAAGCATTAAATTGTGATGTGTACACAGCAGAAGCAATGGTGAGAACTGTACCTGCAGAGCTCAATGCAAACTGATGGGGGGAAAGCAATTTAATGGTGCAAGCATTAAATTGTGAAGGATTTTGATTTTAGAATGTGAAGGACTTGTGTGGACTCAGCTGTGGTACTGATAAACGGCAGCAAAAGGTAATCTTGCTTCTTTCGTAGCTGGCAACACTGTGTAGCCAGGTGCCTTTTGACAAACAAATGCTGCACACCTGTAGTGTTAGTCAGGTAGTAGTGTTCATGTAGCAAAAAAACCAGCAGAGCCATCTGGAAAAATGGAAGGTACAGTCTAGATTTACAGCTTCTGAGGTACTTCTACTCTTTACATCCTCTTTTGAGCCACTCTGAAAATGTTTTAGTAAGTTGGTAGATAGAAAATAACTAAAACCAAAGGTGACCTTCCTTCTAACAGCTGGTAGTCCTATGTTCTGGCTGTGAGAACATAGTGCACACAAAACTACCAAGTCATCAGGAGTCTAAAAGTCAGGCAATGACGGAATGCTGTGTTTAATCACTGATGATGGCATGTAACTCCAGCATTAGGAATGACAATGACAGTTCACACAAACCCACAGAGTGCTGTAGATGAGGCACTTAGAGCGCTTTGCACTAGCTGATGATGCAAAGAGGATTCCAGAAATCTCAGGCAAGGATGGGGCAAAGTACAGCAAAAAAAGCCATGGAAGCGCTCTCTTTGGACTGCATTTACCTCCGAGGCAAAGGAGAGCACTAGCATCGATTACTAAGGCATATTCACCGGTATACTGAGCACTACCTCCTGCAGGAGACCAGGACGGTCCTTCACAGCATCAAAGAGTGCCTTCAAGTTTGTGGCCTGAAAGCATCCACTCTGTATGTTCCCGGGGACATCACTTACCAATCATGCCCATGTAAGCCTGCAGGCATGCAGCATGGTTGTGCACAGAGCAGCCATCCGGAGACACGTCTACAGGCTGACAATTTTGCTGGAAGTCAGCTAGTCGGGATCTGTAGGAAGGAAAATGAGACCATCAGTGTTGATGCTGCTCTATTGGATAATATCCTCTGCTACCTCACCTACTTGCAGATATGGTCTTCTAAGCAGGAGTCCAGAAGCCAGAGGCAATTTGGTTTAGTGTTATACTGGAAGGAACAATCAGGAACAATAGTTTTACGACGTCTTTCTCCACAAAATTCATCTTGACATGGACAGAACAGAATCCTTTTGGTGAAATCCTCAGGAACTTTCTCAAAGAAATTCCTTAGCCCCCTGTGGCACTTGCGCCGGTCACACACATCCTCACTTCCTGCTCCCTTGGTGCAGATGGAGGCATAGTCTGTGCGCAGTCGAAAACACTTCTTGCTCAGATTACAGACATGTGTTGCTCTCAGACATGGATTTCTTGCATCTCCTGCTAACTGTGAACCTATAAAGCCAAAAAAACCCACAAAAACCATGAAGCAAGTCTCCAGAAGAGATTCTGTATGGAAGCAGGAGTACTTCTTTCTTGATGGTCAGATTTGAAAAATCAAAAAGAACAAAAACCGGTCCTTCTATGTGCCTGCAGTACGACACTGTAATTACACTAGTTACAAAAGAGTATTTTTTTATTGGTTCATAGTAGGGTGCTTGTTTCAGAAAATGGATCATGGGTTATTACTGGTTTCACGGGCCTGTGTCTGTGGCTATATTTACACTTGGTAGGAGTGAAAAATTTAGGCAAGTAGCCAGAGCAGGCATTCCTCTGATTAAAGGGGCCATTACCCCAAATTGTTCTTAATAATCTTCAACCCGTGAAAAGATAAGAGAGGGCAGCATTATATCATGTAACCATTACAATTCTTACCTGATACCAGAGCTGCCAGTTTATTATAATCTGTCTTCCAGTGTTCTTCATTTGCTGGATTCTCATAGGGAGAGGTCTCCAAATTGAAATAACCTAGGCAAGATACAAGATACTTAATGCAGTGGGAGATGGGAGAAATGCTCTGTGACCAGCTTTATTTATTTGTTTGTTTGTTTGTTCTTAAATGGATATTTTTCTTATTTATGTCTGGTTCTTTCCTCAGGCTGGAGTTCAGAAATGCTCTGTTTCACTCAAAGCCAAATGCCAAGAATGGTTCTTTTGGAAATGAGAAGCTATTACTGTGTAAAACCCTCATTACATTTTGTCCAGCTTGAAACTGGTCTGTGTTGTCATTTGGATTTTTCAGCTTCAGTAAGTGTGAGGAGCTGAGCAGCATAGGCAGGCTCTAGTGGGAGGTCAAGTAGAAGCATCCCACAAAAGAAAGCAGCGGAACACTTAGGGATGCCATGGCAATAAGTGTCATAATCGCATGCATTTTCAGCGATGGACAGACAGGACCATTTTGAGGTATTTTTCACAGCACTAAATCTAACTATCCCAGTGTAGCTGTCTTTGTCTCTTGGGGTTGCTGGTGTATTTGAAGGACTGGTCCCATACCAGATTAGTTTTCTCTGCTTATCAAACAGAGCAGTAATGAATTCTCTCTACTAGAAGATATGGTTCCCTACAGTGCTGGGAAGTGGACTTTCATGGTTGTTTTCAGCTAGAGGGTGGAGGTAAGCCTTACTAGTAACTTGTAAATTTTTATTACTTCATCTCACCATCTGTCATGCTGGAGTGAACAGTCCAGAAAACGCGTAAGCAGTGCTCCTGTCTCTTCATGCGCCGGTGACACTTGCAGTGCAGCAAAGAGCTGTTCCCAAGGTCAAGCTCTGCCTTCAGACATCTGACCCTGCTGTCATGATCCAGTGAAAGGAGGCGAGTCTTGGCCAGGGCACAGTTTTCCAGAGTCCTGTATGTAGCATTGCAGGCGGAGTCCGAGAGGCACAGCTGCTCTGCCATGACACAGTCACTGCTGGGCAGAGTCATGAGGTCTCCTGATCAAGTAGAGAAAAGACTGTTAGGACCCCAGTCAAGATGAATGCCACACAAGCACCTTGTCATCGTTCTGCAGGGATGCTGTTTTCAACGAGGACCCCTTGCAAGAAACAGAACTTGTTGGGATCTTTCACACGGAATAGTTAAGGAGCAAGAGCTGTTTCCATTTAGGAAAAAAAAGGGAGAGTATAAAAGAAAGAGGGAACAAAAGTTTAAATAAAAGGCTCCAAAATAATTCTGTTCAGCTTGGCCAGGATCAGGGATTGCTCTGTATTTTAGGGACTAGTAAATCCCTGTGAAACCTTGGGGTTGCTGAGGCCTGCTTTGAAGAAGCTCTTCTGTCTGGGCACTGAAAACCACAGTGCAGTAAGTACATAGTAACACCATATTGTGTACTGTGAGTCAGTGCTGCTGCAGTTACTAAAGTAGATGCTGGTCATTAGGAGATGTACTGAGAAAACCATTTATAGGGTATAAAAACAACCACTTGAATGAGCCTGAAGACTTAAGGATGTGTATTCTTTGCATAATAAAATTAATCCTTAACAAAGGATGTCAGTGGCTTCATACAGAAGGGCTTGATATGCAGTCAATTAAAGGACGTAGAACCCAGTCCCTAAAATCCCTGCCAAAAATGCAGATGAAGGCTTGGCCCATAAGAACCTCGTGAAGTTCAACAAGTCCAAGTACAGGTGCTGCACCTGGGTCAGGCCAATCCCAGACCCAAGTCCAGACTGGGAGATGAACCAATTGAGAGCAGCCCTCCAAAGAAGGCCTTGGGGGTTCTCAGAGGTGAGCTGGTCATGTGCACTTGCAGCCCAAAAAGTATGCCCTGAGCTGCATCAAAATCATCATGGCCAGCAGATCAAGGGAGTAGGTTCTTCTCTCGTGAGACCCCCCACCTGCAGTGCTGCATCCAGCCCTGGGGCCCTCAGCACAGGAAGGGCATTAACCTGTTAGCATGGGTCCAGAGGAGGCTCCGAGGGCTGAAGCACCTCCCGCTCTGAGACAGGTTGAGAGAGCTGGTGTTATTCAGCCTGGAGAAGGTTCCAGGGAGACCTCCACTGGGCCCCCTTCCAGTACTTAAAGGGGACTCATAAAAAGGGAGAGACAGCAACTTGTTATACAGGCAGACAGTGATAGGACAAGGGGGAACAGTTTTAAAATAAAACGGCAAGATTTAGATTAGCTGTTAGGAAGAAGCTCTTTACTCAAAGGGTGATAAGGGCCTGGCACAGGTTGCCCAGAGCAGCTATGGCTGCCGCATCCCTGGAAGTGCCCAAGGCCAGGTTGGATGGGACCTGGGCCAACTTGGTCTAGTGGAGGGGGTCCCTGTCCATGGCAGAGGGCTTAGGTCAAGATGATCTTTAAGGTCCCTTCCTGTCCAAGTCCTTCTATAATTTTATGATTATGTTGTCATGGGTAGGTGAATTCAGTCTGTAACCTTTCTTCATTTCTGCTGTATATGAACCTATGTTTACAGTACAAGTACAATGAAGTCTTGAAACAAGACAGTTTCCTAGTAAGATTTATATATAGCCTGGTATGTTTCTTCCCTTCAGGTCAATATTCCTTGCCTGGCTTTAGGAAATGACTGTGCTGAGCCTTACATCTACCTTAGTGTTCTTTGGGTACATCATCTTACCTATCATTCTCTTCTTCAGCAGGTGGAGTAGTACTATTTCAATCTGCCATCACTATAAATTAGGGGGAAATCTTGGTACTCATATTTCCCAGTCTACCATCTTCCCCCTGTAATTTGTTCTCTCACTTCATTTTTGCAAGCTTCATCAGTTTATTTGCTGTAAGCAGTAGAATGCAGAATTCCATGCCAGCCTGCTTCTCGAAGTTTCTACTTTTCCTACGGCCCAGTAATATTATCTAGGTACCTCTGTCTCATTTGTACAACTTTCTTTGTTCTTCTAATAACTTACTGTACTCTGTAGTTCACCTGGCTGTTACATAGAGACCTGATGACTTTTCAAACTCCTCTCATCAGGAATGCTTTGTATGCAGCATTTGTATGCAGGGTTCAGGTGAAGCTGCTCTAAACCTCAACTTCAAAATAGTCCTCCTCTATAGACAACATTTACTAGCTGTGCATTGTTGAAAGCCCTGAAGTTTGGCAAGTTATTTCTTTTTTTTTTAAAATCTTGACTTAGTAGTTCAGTAACAACATGAAAGAATGAGAAAGCTAATTCTTTTTTTAGATCTGTGGTTTAGACATAGGTTTAGGTTGCAGAACATCTTAAAGATATATGTATATGGGAATCCCATCTGTAGTTTACAAAAAAAGTAATAACCAATTAACACATTATGATTATTTATGCCTTAGAAAAAAATGGATAGGTAATACAATACACCTTTATTCTCCCCTTTCCAATGTCCTGTCATAGAGATGTCTATCTTGTTGTCCCTGGTGCACCACGCTATTTAAAGAGACAATAGTTACAGAAGGGAAGCCCTTCCTTTATTAAACACAGTTACCAGAAAAGCATTGGCATTTGGACATGGCAAATTATGGGAAATCTTTTGCAATCGTGGGGCTTCCAGTTGCTACTGTGGTCTAAGTGGAGCAGCCTGTCTTTTAGCAGTCAAAAAGCTGCAGCTTTTTCTGAGTGCAAAGCACCCCAAGACAGAAACTAGCAATGATTCAGAGCAGTTTCTAATTTCCTTATTCCTAGTCACATCAGCCCCTGAAGACTGGAAAAAGGAATAATTTCAATCCTCAGCTCTTGTGATCTGGCCCTAGTACGAGGCAGAGTAGAACAATCAGCTGCATCTCTGCAGGAGTTCCTTGGATTGGTCTTGGCAAACCGAGCCTAGTCTCGGGAAACTATGGGCCTTAAGCATTCCAGAGGGCGAACGTAGGGGGGATAGGTATCAAAAACTGCTCGGGGCGAAGCCAGCGAGAGCGCGGCGCAGCCAGGATCGGCTCAGATGAATGAATCCCCGCGTTGTGCCCGTCCGGGGGCGTTCAGTGATCGGCTCCCGGCATCTCCTCTCGACTCGCCTCCAGGGTAGACGGTCCCCTCCCCAGAGCGTCCCTCCAGTTTGGCCACAACCACACCGGAGGTTCCCCGTTCGGGCCAAAGCAGCAGCCGCCTTTCCCTGTTTAAATCGCGAATTCCTACCCGCCGCCTGTGCCCGGGACAGCTGGAGCCGGCGGCCGGGAGAGCCGGGCAGCGGCTGGGAGCGCCGCGCTCGGGACGCGCTCCGCGTCCGCCCGGCTTCGGGGGGGAGCAGCGGTCAACCCCAGCGACCGCGACCCGGCGCCGCCCCTGCAAGCCGCGGCCGCCCCGCGGCGGGACCGGGGTGCGGGCGATGCCGCCCGGTCTGCCCGCCGGGAAAGGGATGGGGGTCGTGTCGCGCCGCGCTGCCCAGCCCGCCCCGCGCCGCGGGCGCAGTTACCGGCTCGGGAGAGAAGCAGCGCCAGGAGCAGCGCCAGCCCCATGCTGGCGGTCGGTGGCTCCGAGCGCCGGGGCTGCGGCTCGCGTGCTGCGCGCTGCCCCGCCCGCCGCTGCTGAGCCCCGCCCGCCCCGTCGAGGTGCGGGCGGAGCCGCCTCCGGCCCGACCCAGCGCGGGTCCGGGACCCGCCCGCGGCGGGTCGGGCTGCCTTCGGGCTGCTGCGAGAGGGGGCAGCTGGCGGGGATCATTCAGCGGCCGCTGTCCCTAGGGCGACCGGGGAGCTGCTGGGCCCGGGGCTGGGCAGTGCAGGGACGCTTCAAAAGGGGCGTTTTGGAAGGGGCTGCGCAAGGCGTTTGTTTATTGATTCGTAGCACACCTGAGTACCGAAAGCTGTGATTGCGCACCCTTGGGGGTAAAGGACAGTAAGTCTCCAACTTAGGAGAGTCTCCTTCACCCTGGAGGGAGTGTTCTTGGCGGATACAGAGGTTGACTGGCTTTTGAGTAGATTCCCCAAGTGATTCTTGGGTCTCGGTGGAAGGAATGACTGAGCTTGTGGCTTCTTCCTTTTGTCTTTGTTGTGAAGGCTGTTATTTCAGTTTCTTACCTGTTGCTGGTTCTGTCTTGATTGAGCTGCTTGTCTGCACCCACACAAAAGATGTAATTTCTGAGGCCACATGGCATTTAGGCAGCTGTTCTTCTTTTGAACATATGCTTCGTTTTAATTTGCGTCCCAAGATCAAATTAACCAGTGCAAAAAAGTTACAGTCCAACACGTGCATGTCAAACATTAGTATATGAAAATATTAATTAGTACATGAAAACGGTTTTTAAGTCAATTGTCTGCATAAGTAGACCCCTGACTGATCCAGAACCCCAACAGAAAGGGTAATAACTGTGCAAATACATTAATATTCACAACTGAATTCAGTGATGCCCTCCTCTTCTTGAGTTAAGAAACATTAGTTCTCCTGCTTACTGGAGGGAGCTGCTGCAAGAGATTTTTTCTCCACGAAGATTACTGTAGATCGTCATATTAAAGCAAATAGTAGTTCCAGTGCTATGCTAGACATTTCATCTCTACATCTATGACTGCCACAGCCAGTGAAGAGTGGATTTGACCTGTAGGTGATGAGTTACTTAATTGTACCTTATTTTGTATAGTATTAACCTTATGAAGATTGTAGCATACTGGTTCTTCTGCTGCTTTTTTTTCAGGATTTGACCACTACAACCCTTCTTGAGTCAAGACCAGAGCATGTTACTGGAAAGTGCAAAAGATGCTGTCTTGGCCATTTGTCAGGAGTACTATCAGAGGACTCTGAGGGAGGCAGCACAGAGGAGGGCTGAGCAAACATTTCTCTGCTTGGGCTAATATTTACAGCACCACAGTCTGCTCTTTACAGGGCTAGAGACAGGCAGCAGACATTCACAGGTAATAGCAACACCTGTACACTACAGAAATATTAACCTAATGCAAACAACCCAGCAGAAGTTGATGTCTATATTTATGGAAAACCAAATAAAAACCTCCTCCATTTCCTAGTATGAGTGCTAGTGCTAGTGCCCTAGACATCTCTGGCTGCTCATTGCCAAAAAGGGTTCAGGGGCTTGACATCCATAGCAGCTACCTATAGCTTTGTGCTTCAGTTCCTGGGATACTTAGCCACTTCTGGCTCAGATGGTTTTATTCATTTGTTCATACGAGTAAAGAATTCAAAGCTGCTCTTGTATTTTATTTAGTGTGGTTCACAGCTGGAAGGTCAGAGACCTAGGTGTCTGTCCGGTTAGGTACAGTCACACAGCTCAAAGGGTAGACTATATCTCTGGTGAGAATAATTGTAAGTTATTCTACAGGAAAAGGGAATGAAGAAATGGTAATAAAGATTCAAGGTGAGCAGTGGACATGCTGAACAACATAGCTTCAGTCCAGAGGGACTTTGAGAAATTAAAGAACTCGGTCAACAGGTCCCTTATGAGGTTTAGGAAGGACAGCCAAGTTCTGAAACAGGGCACAGTGACCCCATGCATCTTTCCTGTCTGAGGACTGAGTGGATGAGAAGCAGTCCTGCTGGAAGGACCTGGAAGTTGCCATGGATACCAGTAAGATGTGATTGTGAATAAAACAACCCACACAGCACACTGTATTAGGAAGAACATGGCCAGAGACTGAAAGAAGTTGTTCATGTCTGCTTAGCAGTGCTGTGGCCACATCTGGACTTCTGTATGCAGTTTCCTGCCCCTGAAGTTCAAGAGGGATGTGGAGGAACTGGAGAGGGTCCAGTGGAGTGCTACAAAGATGGTAGCACATGACCTATAAATTGATTATCAGACCTGGGCTTGTTTGCTTGGCAAAGAATTTCAAAGATGATCTACTACCACCCAACAGGTACCCTTTTTCACCAACTGGCTAAGGCAATGGTTAATGTGCACATGCTTGGATGACAGAAGCAACTTAGGGCATGAGCAGCTCAGAAGAAAAATTATTTGTAAAAGGAAAGCAAAAATACTCTTTCAAGAGAAGAAAGGAGGAGTACCTTAGAACAGCGCTGCTTTACTACCTTAAGTCTAAATTTTTTCAGAGGCAAGAACATAGACAAAGTAGTTTTAGTAGTGCATTACACTGTCTTTTGATTCAAAGACATTTAAGTGATGCACGGTGAGCCCATTTTTCTGATCCAGGTATATCCATGATGCATATCGTCTCTCCTTGTCTCAAGTGAAGCTTAATAAGTTTGCAAGACAGTGGATTTGGCAGTGGCAAGACAGACCCAGGCCTTAGGGGTTGTAGCTGTTCAATGCAGTCAGAAAAATAATGGAACTGTCATGGTTTTGGAAAAGTATCTCCCAATTTAATTCTCCCACTAAAACTGCACTGCTTGCTCCCCTAAATTCCTTCAAGTGGAAGAACAAAAGGCAGAGATCACGGGTGGAGATAAGAAACAGGAATGAGATATGGAACAGTAACAGCAACAGTATTACAAAGGTGTAATAACTAAAGATAGAAGACAAAGAAATTATTTGCATGGAAAGTCCAGCAGTACTGACTGGCTCTTCCCAGATAGAAGGAACCCCTTCTCCTCAGAAGTGAGAGTTCCTTTTTCTGCCCCCAGCAATGATGTGAGGTGGTATCAAACAATATTAAGGTATTGGCCATGTCTCCTCCCACTGATCCGTGCTGAAACCAGGACAGGAACCAAAACAAAGATTTTTTTTTTCCTGTAGGCTGGGAAGGTATTTAAACAGGTGTCAAAGCAATCAAGTTAAAGAATATGGATTAGATTATTTCCCTTTGTTTCAGCAGGCATTCTACAGCTGCTTTCCACAGTGAAACGGACTGGACTTCTATTCATTCAAGCTGTGAGACAGAGGACTCAAAGCCCCATTAGGCCACAAAGATCAGTGTTCCCACTCTGCTGACACCTTCACTGCCTTTCAGTGCTGTGGAACAGAGAACCAGAGCCAGCAGGTTCTTATTTTAATCGCTCCTGTAAATTTTCCATCTTTGCTTGTAAAAGAGATGAGCACATGGCAGGGCAGTAGCACAGGGGCTATTTACTTTCCATCTTATCAGCAGCATTATGTGCTTTAGAGACTACCAGGAAAGACTGAGGTACAAGCTGCTCCTGCTGAGTCAACAGTATGCCCTGGCAGCCAGGAGGGCCAGCCATGTCCTGAAGTGCAGCAAGCAAAACATTGCCAGCTAGTCAAGGGAGGTGATTGTCCTGCTTTACTCTGCACTGGTGCAGCCTCACCTTGAGTGTTATGTGCACTTTTGGGTAGCACAATATTAAGAAGACATTAAGCTACTAGAGACCATCCAAATGAGACCACGAGGATGGAGAAGGGACAGGAGGGGAAGCTTACGAGATATGGCTCACGTCACTTGGTTTTCTCAGCCTGGAGAAGAAGAGACTGAGGGGAGACCTCATTGCAGTTTTCAACATTCTGACAAGGGGAAACGGAGAGGCAAATGCCAATCACTTCACTCTCATGACCAGTGACAGGACTCAAGAAAAAGGCATGGAGCTGAGTTGGGGAGGTTTAGGTTGGGTATCAGGGAAAGGTTTTTCACCCAAAGAGTGGTTGAGCACTGGAAGATGCTCCCCAGGATAGTGGTCACAGCACCAAGCACCTGTTTGAGTTCAAGAAGAGTTTGGACAATGCTCTCAGGCTCATCGTGGGATCCTTGGCGTGTCCTGCGCAGTCGGACTTGATGACTGTGATGGGTCTCTTCCAGTTGAGCATATGCTATTATTCTATCATTCTGATACATGGCAGGACTTTGGACCACAGCACAGAGTTGCTGTACCCAGACAGATGAAGTTTTCTTTACTAATTTTGCCCCTGGAAACAAGGTTTCTAGGATTTTCAATTTCTTTGATTGTCGTCAGAAAAATCCTCTCTTGCCTCCTATTCCTTGTGATTTTTTAAGCATTCAACAAAGTACTTGCCTGAAGAGCTACCAGCAAGAGTGTTGACAGGTGAGGAGGATACCTGAATGCACTCAGGGAAATTTTAACTGAGGTTTTATATACATACATGAAGAGACTCCCTGGGCCATAGGCAATTGTGCTCCAGAAGACTAGGGCTGTTTGGGCAAGAAGGCTTGCCTCTGAGGTTTAGCATGCAAACCAAACTGGTAAAACTACCCAATTTCTTTTTAAGTAGCTGCATATTGCATAGACACTGGATTAACTCTTGACAATCTGTTGGAAACGAGTAGTAGTCTCATTAATTGCCACAAACAACTTACATGCACCAATTTTTTTTTTTTTTTTTTTTTTTAATTACAGGCAAATTCATTAATTCATATTCCATAGAGCCTATCCTCTTGTCTCTTTCCACACAGGTGCATTTTTGCCTCTTCCAGGTTCCTGGTATCAAAGTCACTCTTCATGGTTTTGTCACTATTTCAACCAGTTCATGAAATAATCTGAGATATTTAAATGTCATCAAACCCAGTGGGCCTTGAAACACATTTCTCTAAGCACTCTATCTTTGCCAAATATTCTTACCTTGCTATTGTTTAACTGCCCGAGTGAGTGTCAGCACAGGCAGGCAGCAGGCAGGACAATCACAAAC